AAAGGATTCCTGGAGGAGATAAAGTGATAGAAACTGTGATCAACTAGACAGACAAGACACTGGTGAAAAACATTACAGGTGAAGGAAAAGGACTGGAACAGCCCAGAGCTTGTTAAGCACTAGAGTGGCAGGGACTGTGACACATTCACATAAAAAGACGTGAAGGGGTGGCGTGAATAAGCCGGGTCTGGGTATTGATAGCACTGAAGAGTGGAGTGATTAGAGAATTACATAAGCCACGCAGCATGGCTCACAGGGGACAAAAATCAAAGATAAGAATTGGTATGAGGAAGAGTGCAGATGTGGGTGAGAGGGGAAGTCAGGGAAATTCTGGGGTCTGGGAACACTGAATGTAGAAAGATAGATCTGCATATCAGAAAGTGGACTGCTGAATGTGTGGCTTGGAGACACCAGACCTGGAGATGGGGAGTAACTGTGGAATTAGCTACTTAAATGCAAATAAACTCAGGCACATAATAAAAAGCTGAGCATCATGGATACAAAATAACCTGCATGGTTACAATTGTTAACAATTATTGCTGCCTTTCTTCATAAAGGAGTAATGGGAGAGGAGTCAGGTAAAGCGAAGTTCCAAATTGCTAGCAGTTAAAAGCAGTGTAGACACTATGTAAGGCATCTGTGTCATCGAGTTTGTCACTTTCAATACTATTCACTAAAATAATTTCCTGTTTTATGTTACAATCGTACTTTTCAATTCTATAATGCTTTATTTTTGGTTCAGCCCTTCCATTTCTGGTGGCCATTTTCTCCTGATTCAGTGTAAAATCAAGTGGCATCAAATAAGCCAGGTGCATTGCTTTATAAATTCCATAAAAATACCATGAGATATCACTTAGCGATAAAATGGTCCTCTATTATTTGCAAAAAGCGTATATCTGCAGTGTACATACTAAGTCATTAAATGCTTACTTCAAGGGCCAGTCAAATAGCTCAGCAGATAAAAGTGCCTGCAAGTAGGCATAAGGGCTGGGGTTCGATCCCCAGGCCTGCTGAGCCAGCCCCACACCTGGGGCGTGCTGAGACGGCAATTGAGACTGGGTGTCATGGCGTGCACCTGTGATTCTAGCTCTTGGG